GTAAATGAGAATAGTTTTTTTTGTGGTGTTGGGGGGGGGGGGGGGGGGGTTAAAGAAAAATCATTTACATTAGCCACCTACAATTAGCTTTCAATTATTTTCATTAATTGTTGAAATATTTTATTTGTCTTTGGAAGAAATAAACTTAACCACATTTAGTATAACTCAGATAAGTGAAATTTGAGTTTTGTTTTACATATGTAGTTAGAAAAAAAAAAGAAATTGATATTTTTCGGGAAAAAAGTTAAAAATATCTCTTAATTTTTGTTTATTAGTTGACCTTGCTCTTATTATTAAAATCAAGTTATTCATATCCTCGCTGTCTAAAACCTTGTCACCTGTACCCCTTAATTGGATGAAAAATCCCGAATAAACAAAATTAACCTAATTTTAATTAAATTACCCGATTTCTTCTTTTAATCTCAATCTGACTCACTAAACCAAATAAATTCATATCAAATTAAATTCCCAAACCCATCTTTGTAGCTTATTAAGTTATGGATTTTTTTCAGTTAAAACAAATTAAGAAAAACAGGTCGCACAGTGAGTAGAATATATAGCAATTTTAGAAGAGAAAAGATGTTGAGGAGAAATGGATGAAAATGTTGTAAAGAGGTGAAAAATAGAGAGATGGATTTGGGGATTTAATTTGGTAAATATTTTTTTGGTTAATTAGGCCGGGTTTGAATTTAAAAAAAATCGAGTATTTAATCAAAATTAGATTATTTTTGTTGATTTGGAGTTTTTCATCCAATTGAGGGGTACGAGTGACAAGTTTGTAGATGACAAGAGTGTAAATACCTCGATTTTAATGGTGATGGAAAGATCAACAAATAAATGAAAATTGAGAGGTATTTTTGACCATTTTCCTTCTTTTTTTTTCCTTTGCATTTCTTTGAAAGGGCAATATAACATTCAAATTAAAGGTATTTATAGAACAAATAGGAACAATTTTCTTCAACTTTTTTCATGATTTGGAAGATTTTCTTTCCTATTAAACATGTGTACTTTCACCCGGTCCCCCATAAAGAACAAAATACATATCTTTTGCACCATATGAAAGTTGTATAAATTCAACCTTGTACATATTAGGATTATCGATGTGTGTGATTGTTTTATCTACCTCAATTGTCTTTCCTTTCTCGTTGAAAATTATAACTCCAGCACAATAAGCATCATAGGAAGAGTTTTCAATAGGAAAATAGCTTGAGCCCATCGGAGGTTCTGGTACACCTGATGGACTATATACAACTCCTCCCCAATCAACATTCGTAGCAAAACTTTTCAAGTCAGTGAAGAGACTTTGTGGCCAGAAACCTACTCGTGTAAACTCTTGTGACACTAAAACCCACCAATTTCCGGCTAAGTCCTAAAAAAAATTAAAAAAATAAGTTGTCAATAACAATATTTACATTATTTCCTAATTATAATTCCTATATTTGAATAAAATGTTTAAAGACTACAAATAAGAAAAATAAAAACAATATAAAATGTACCCGATCAATGTACATTCTCGCACCCCAAGGTCTCCCTCCACGTTGTGAAATAGTATCCATGAATGAATTATCAAGAGGTAGATCATAGTTTACTTGTACAAAGCCGGGACATAGTGTATTGAAGCAATGAATTTTACCAGCCTAAAAAAATAGATATATCTCATACATGAATTCTTAAAAATCAAGGTAAATAGTTAAACTAATAGTATCCTTGAAAAATGTTTTCCTATAATTTCTTGGAAAAAAATAAGTGGATTTCTAAGTTATTTTCTCATGTTTGGTTGGTGAGTAGAAAATATTTTTTAATGTTTGGTTGGTAAATGAAACACATTTTTTCAAAAAATATCTTTAATTTTTGGCTTGAAACTAGAAAATACTCTTTAGAAAAATAACTTTTGTCCTGAAAATTAATTCGGATAATCGATCTAAGACCCGACCCTGACACCCGAACTAGGACAGGATCCTGACGAGTGACGACCATTCCAAAATCCGACCCTGAGATCTGACCATGCCCTGACCCAAAAATATTTTTTTTAAATAAGGTG